GACTGGGGTTCTATCCTCAAATGTCCATGCTCCAACGCCAAGGTCGGATAGGTTCAAACTGGCCCAGGCTAATCTCTTCAAGCCCATCATCGTTTATATCCAAATGGTATAGTTGGATCTGTTTGTTGTCCTGGTGGAACGTGGATAGTGTCTTTGATACTTTCGGACGGGCATTTTTAATATTGTCGTCGGTTGATTTTGATACTGGCCGTGACGTCGGAGTTTCAGGATACTGCCATGAGATACTGGGAGTGTCCGCTTCCGAGCAGTCTGGAGAAGATATGGTAGAGGGTGAATCGCAACGTGAATGTCTAGGTCCTGAGATGACAAATTTGCTCTCATCACGTCCGTATGGCAGCATAGTCGACGGCATCTGCCGAGGAAGCTCACGCTGATTGTTGCTTTCGGGCTTTGGTGCTTTCTGGGCCGCGTGATCGTAGGGAGAAGCCAGAATAGGGGTAGATTTGTTCGATGATCTTTGATCCGTACTTTGAGTAGCCAAGGGCGGTAGCTGTCTATTCCGCTGAGCAACTGCCGACCCTGCCTTGCTAAGATGATTGTCTTTGGGTAGTGCCCCGCAGTCATTCTTGCGGGTTGAGGCGCTGAACGGTTCCTTTCCGGCCATGACTCTGGCACTGGGAGGCGGTTGCAACATCCACCTTGTTTCCGCTCGGCTCTTGGGTCCGCTTACGATCGGTGGATGAAGATCGTTGACCGGGGGTACGCGGGCGACATAGTACTTGCTGGGTTCGGTCGTATTCGCTTTGCCCCCGCCGGAGATTCCAACCGAAGAGCCCTTTACCTCCACTTCCTCCCCCCACAGAGGTTCATCCTCACGCTGATAACGCATACGGTTCCACCGGTCGCCAAGCGGATGCATAAGGCTGCTCTTATCCTTTCGCAGCGATGCCTCCCCCACGTCGTGGCTGGAGTCCATAGGTGACAATGGATCAGTATTCCAACTGTCGGTCCGTCGATGATTGTTCCGATTACCTCCTCTTCGTGCAGGAGGGCCCGGACCTAGAGCAATCTCCTCCGCCCATCCTGGGTTGGTACTGAACGGTGTTGGCTGAGAAAATGGTTTTGGTTGGTCGGTGATGATGGCGTCAACCTTTTCCTTCTCTCGTTGCGATCGAACAGCTTCCTTCTTTCGCTTGCGACGGTCAAAGGACATAGCACAGGGCGTACAGGTGGCATAGTAAAAAACGGCCGATTGAGCCCCCCTGTACAGCCACATGGCGGTCAGCTGTGATGATGCCTAAGATTCGGAAGGAAGTAGGGACGCTTGACGAAGACGAGTCCCGGCAAGTGAAATGGTATGAAAAAGGCGTTGAAGATCTATTTGGCCCGGAGGCACTGGTAGTTTGATCTCGATATTTGCTGTGGCGCTGATGACAACATGAAGGGCGTTCACTGTCCTAAAGCGGAATTGTGAGGAAAGAGCACAGGGAGATCGTCCAGCGATCTGTTACGGGAGAAGAGGAAGTGTGTGAAAGATATGAGGAGAGAGCAAAAAGCGGCAAACGGAGGAAGAGAGCAATGAGAACAGGGATCAGAGATGGGAGAACGAAGGAGAAGATCGTAAAAGACGATGAATGGATGGATGGATGGGTAGGATGGGGATGGAGGAGAGGTTGGCTGGCTGTTTGGCTGTTCTCGCTGTCAGGGGGGAGTTGGGCCACCGGATTGGGCTTGGCAGAAGAGAAAGAGGGCGGGACAGCGACTTAGTCATGGCGCTAAACACGGGAGCCGTTTCAGCACCAGGCACAGGAGGGGCGATCTCAGACAATTGTGCCTATTTATGTATGACCATCGATCTACTACTGCCTCCTGTTGTTTTGAAGATGAAGAAAACATGGTCATGGGATCATTATGCTCAGAGAACTTTCAACAGCATTATACCTCTCTAGAAAGGTGATGAATTTACCGAGTCTTCTATTCTGCAGACTCTCCACAAACACGAGGGGCCCAACCCCACACTGACAGACAGCCACTGCCAGAAGAAAGCATTCTCTAATGGAATGTACAGGATAGGCAATTCCTAGGAACTTCCATTTCTACGGCTCAAGTGGTGGCATTCTTATATTCAAGGAGACCCTTGCGTCGTACCAAACTCAAAGCAATACGAAGCCCCTTCCAACTAATGGAAAGCCCCTTTGCAGCCCGAAACGTCTACAGGAACCTGAATAATCAAGGAATACCCACACTGCTGTCATGCTGTCTACGCTGTACAGAAGCCGGACTGCGCTGAAGGTCGCATTATCCACCAGTCATCAGTGCATTGGCGTCGGAGGCAAGAAGTACGCATCCCGACAGCCAACTTCACCCGCGTTGGGGGCCGTAACTCGTGATACTCGGCGCTTGTGAGGCCACGATCGGAATCCTCTCCAGGACGTCTGCCATAGATTGAAAGCATCGGCGCTTTGAGTTGATGTCGTGACCACCTGATTGTTTAGTGTTCCACCTTGATTATAAGCAGACATATTTCCAGGAAGAGATCCAGATCTTCGCCAATTGACTTCCTCATGGCTTAGGTCGGGTAGTTTCCAGATATGTTTTCTACGACTGACATTCCAGCCGACATCCTTAATGTTCACACATTCGCAGTAACATGGGTCAAAACAATGCTGCCGATCAGCAAGCGGAAAGTTTCAAACGCAATGCGCTTTTACAAGCACTTGAAAGGGCATATAGATGGCGGGGTTGACTAATGCTGAAGAGCAGCGAATGCAGGCAATTTGTGTCTTATTATACGTCTCCTCGGGTCTCTATATCATTCCCACCGCGACAGAACTTCAGAGCTATCTGCAGTCATACGTGCGTGGTCAAACATTTGCAGGGACGTTGAGGACCACTTCGCACAAGTTGATACTGCTTCAAAATCTCAACCAGTATTCTTGAATGCTTGTAGTTCTCTCTAATCAAAGCATGTCTGTTCATCCAATATGGATTCTCTGCCTTAGTCTGTTTACAAGACGACAACGCCTAGAAACTCTAGGACTCCGCATAAAGAGAATCTTTTACCTTCGACCCAGTCATTCGGATTGGATGACGGCTCTTTGAGCTCAATAATATCTAACACTTGATTAGCCTGAGTTTGCGGATAATGAAGTGAGCTATGTGTTCGAATTTCAAATAGCTGACCAGTTGATGTTGTGCCAACAGCAACGAACAATTACTGGAAACCTCCACTATTCAAGCCTGTCAAGTTGTCAACCTGTCAATGGGATAATTCCATGTCATACAGAATCAGGAAAGCATACATTACCGGAACTTGACTACAGAGCATTTCCAAGACTTGGAACCTAAGGCAAAGCTAGAGCGGCTTGGACTCGTCCGCAGCGGATGATGCAATAGTGATGATGAGCCTATCGTGAAGTCAAAATGCCGCTAAAAAGTATACTCAACGACGTATATCCTGACTTCCCAGGAGATGACGAGACAATAATTGCGTTTAGGTCAATTCTTGTAAAATATAAATAGTTTAGCATGCCCTTTGTACCATGGCTTCTACACCCCCCATAGAGTCGACATAGCTCCGTGCGGAGGGGATACTATCAAAATGGTATGTCCGAATAGCTTCAAACGTCCACCAGCCAGACCACAACGAACCTAAAACTAAACAGTTTCAATGCAGGCCCTCATCTTCTCCCCGGAGACCAAACAGTCACCCTTCCTCCTCACCACCATCACCACCAGCACCGCCCACTCCCCCCTCCCTCCTCTCCTCCTCCTCCTCTGCCTCCCCTCCCTCCTCTTAGCAGCCCACTACATCCGCAAAGACTACCACGCCTTCCTCGCCCTCGGCCCCGGCGGCATCCCCTCAACACCCACCGGCTACGCCCGCATCTGCATCCTCCGATTTTTCACCGTCCGCGACCCGCTCTGCCCACCCTCAATCCCCCCATCCCTCCAGTCCAAGCGCGGCCAGCTGCCCGCCTCCCTCCCCATCCGGCCGGGGCCCCGCCCAACCGTCGCCGGGATAGCACCCCACAGACAGACGACCCAGCGCGCCAGCAAAACAATGTACGCGACGCTGTCCAACCGCATCCATGCCCTGGTCAACGCGCACCCGGGCACCCTCCGCGCCGCGACCTCCTGCTTCGAGAAACATAGCACGGGGATCTTCTCCGTGGCCGCGGGCGGGCCCGCCGTTTCCGCGCTGACGCAGTCGCTGCCGTCTGGGCAGGCGCAACGCCTCACCTGCGACGGCGAAGTGTGCCACTCGCATCCGAGTGACGGGAGCTTGCATCTCATGCTGCATCCGGCGGATGTGAGGGTCGTGCTGGAGAAGGGGTGGGGGGAGCGGCATCCGCTTGCGTGGGACGACGGCGGGGACGGGTGGTGTTGGTGGTGGTGGGCGAAGAGTGTGCCGCCGGGGTTTGTGATGATCTATGCGCCGAGGGATGAGAGAGAGTTGGAGATTGTGATGGTCATTATTCGGGCGGCTGTGTGGTGGGTTGGTGGGACAGAGGTGAAATGAGGAGAGTGAAAAGGTCCAGCAAAGAATTCCAGCAAAGAGGGCACGGGCATTGTGTTCATAACCTCGGGAGCGCCCTAGTTGTACAACGACCATATACTTTCCCCTCGATCAGTGGAGGGCCTATTGAGAAGATTGTTTCAAAATCTAGTCTTCAAGTGCATCAAATTCATTTCATCTACTTCAGACACCTATCAATATGTTTAGTGAAACATAACCATTCTGGATGGATCATAAACGTCGAGCCAGCCTTGACTCTCGAGGACATGAGCAACAGATGAAAAATGGTTTTTCAAAAGGCACAAAGGAGTATTTGTTGGAATCGACGCCGGGACGTAAGAAGAAATAAAAGCTAATAGCATAGAGGAATGAAGAGCCGTTAGAGAACATACAAGTACCACCAAGAAGCAAATCCCTTCCGTATGCAAGGTGTCTTTGCCGGCCCTGGTCCCCCAACCATCATCCGCGCAACTCCTCGTCACAGTTTCGGGTTTTCTTCCACTCGTCGTATTATAACATTCTAAGAGTTGTTCGATTTCCTCAGCGCATCGGCGAGCCATTCCAGACCTTCGTACAGACCGTCACCAGTGGTGGCGCAGGTAGATTGGATGTACTACAGATAAATTAGTGAACTGTGAAGGACCCGCACCGGCAGTCAAGCCAACTTACCCAAGCACGACGGGTAAGACTTTGCAGACCAAGCTGCTGGGTGATCTCGGCGGGGCTCATGGCGTTCTAGAAAGTCATCAGTATCACACCGAACAAAACCGCACAGAGGATTCTCATACAGGCAGATCTTGCTTGTTGGCGAAAACAAGGAGCAGAGCATCACGGAGTTCATCTTCGTTCAACATGCGCTGCAGCTCTTCCCGGGCCTCGACAATACGGTCGCGATCGTTGCTATCGACGACGAAAATGATACCCTGGGTGTTCTGGAAGTAGTGTCTCCAGAGAGGACGGATCTTGTCCTGGCCACCGACGTCCCACACGGTGAACTGAATGTTCTTGTACTCGACGGTCTCGACGTTGAAACCTTGACACGTAAACCAATGTCAGCAACAGCTTCCTTCTCGTACGCGAACGACGAGGATTATCTGGCGTGATGAACCGACGGACGACCCGAACCAGCGGGAATGGACGACTGACCAATCGTGGGAATAGTGGTGACGATTTCACCCAGCTTCAGCTTGTACAGGATGGTGGTCTTTCCGGCGGCGTCAAGACCAACCATCAGGATTCGCATCTCCTTTCGACCCCATAGTCTATCGAACAGCTTCGAGAAGGTGAGACCCATGTTGGCGGTGGCGTAAACGAGTCTAAGAGGAGCGCGACGGTGAGGTCAGTCAATCGAAAGTTTACGGCCTGATTGATTTATAACGGAGAATATGAGAGATATAGGCAGATAGAAAGAGTCGAAGATCCAAGTGCAAAAAGACACGGAGACTGAGTATGGGGTGACTTGAGAACGAGGGGCGTATTCACACCGGGGAATAACGGTGAGATGGGAGAGTTCAGGGGAGAGAGACGGAAAGGGAGGGAGAGAGGGGAGAGGGGCAAAAGAAGGGAAGTAAGTCGAAAGAAAATTAAAAGAGAATATAACAAGGGCAAACTTACCAACACAGAAGAAGCTGGAGAATAGAAAACAAAACGTGGATACACGAGGGTAAGAGTGATGGTGATGATGATAGATAGAATTAAGGTAGGATGGAGTAGCAGACAGACCACGCTCTCTCTCACTGTGCCTGTGTCTTGTGTCTGAGCCGGGTCTTGTTTTTGTCAGTGTTGGAATTTTTGGGTGCAAAAATGCCAGGTCGAGAAATTCAGCCGCCGGCGTAGCTTCCGTCACTAACGAAACCACCAGAATCCCAACACTCAGTACGAAGTATCTATCTCTCTATTATTGTTGACTCTGGATGGTGTCAAATTTCATCTGATCCTCGTCTGGAACAATATTAATGACTCTCTACAGAAACAAGACTGGACATTCTTGTCTTCTACTTGTCCCCTTATACTGCGCTTCTTGAATCTTCTCTGCCTGGCCACATGAAGAGGACACGGTGTTTCCCGTCTATTGGCGCACTAAGAACGGCGCCTTTCAGGGCAGTGATGATACTGAGAGCGATCATATACTGACTGTCACTGCGCGATGGCAACGTGGATGCTGAAAATCGAATGAGCTGCTTGCTCCAAATTCACTTCATTGATGCCTATTCTTGCTCGTAATCTGGCCATTTGTTTCTTTCCCACTTTGCTGCACACTTCCAGGTCCCAAATACAAAGGCACAAAGTCTGGACATTCTGGGTCTGGTCCCTTTCTGATAGGTTCCCGGGTTGGCTCTTGAACCCGCCCCGTCCCAGTGGATCACTTTGGGTGGCACTGGGCCTAGGTATCTATCGCAATTCGCAAATATGCCCTGTCTCGTGTTCTCTTTAAAGTAGGTAACGTGTTATTAGTACGCATTATCTCATCGCCGCAATTCCAGGTTCGTGGTTGGCTCCAGTTACCCGGCGCTCACTGGTAACGTGAAACCCACAGGGGGCCACTCTATCTACGCGTCATAATCAGGATAAGCCGTGGATGCAGGTAGATCTGGCTGTATCTAATTTCGAAGATTACGAGCATCATTTCTCAGATTCAAGCCGACTCTGCATGCCTTATGCATCAAAGCTAGTCGTGTTTTCGCTGATGCCCGAGTTTATCTTTGGATGATGAGATAAATGTTCGCGACAGTGATTGATAGATTGTCCTGCCCTCGATGGTGCCGCTGGCGTAACCAAAGAGAACAAGGACCAGCAATGACAGGACCATGATGACTGCGAAGCTGATCCAGTATTCGGCCTGCGTATACACTCCTTTGACGCCTCTGAGTTCGGTCGAAAAATACGCCGTCATCAAACTGACTGGCAAGAAAAGAATCGTGATTTTCGCCAGCAGAATGGTGATTCTCGTCAGCTTCTCGACAGCCTGTGAATCTTTCAAGGCGATCAAGTTGAAGTTCTGCACTAATTCGTCAACAAATCAGTATATTTGAAGGCGAAGAGGTGCTCGCTGACCAGGAATGTGAGAGACTCCTTCTCTGTCAAGCAGGCGTCGATCTCAGATAAGCAATACAGTTTGATCCGATCAAGCAATCTTTCGAAGCGAGCAACAGCTGCGGAGTTCAATCGCACGCCGACAGAGCTTTCGCAGTTGCTTAACAATTCTGATTCACTCTGAACGATGAGCCCAGGTGGCATTTTCTTGTGTCTTGAGCGTGCCTCGTCGCGCAACAAGCGCTGTCTCTGAAGCACGCGCGTCAGGATGAGCTCGTAGCTCTGGTACAGGCGCCGTAGGACTGCCAGTCTTCTACCCAGCCAATGTAGTTCATTTACCAAGTCGACGACCGGTTTGTTCAACATGTCCTCTCTCTGTTCTCTTAGATCAGTCCCTGAGCACGACCTACCCTTTTGCAAAAGTGATTCTTACCAGTCGATCCAGCAAGACTCCATACTTATGCTCACGCTTTGCAATTAGAGCATAACTCGTCACCCAGTCATCGAAGATGTAGTAAAATAGCAGGGCAGGGCCATCGTCTTGATGTATACTGACGTGGTCCGAACGAGGGTCATTAGACGCTCGCACTCGAATGGTGACCAACGAGTCACTTTCGGATGAAGCAGAGTGCTGCTTGGAAGCACCTGAAAATATCATCTGCACGTTTCTGCGCACGACTCCCAGAACCGACTTGACTTCTGATTCTGGTCTTGGCTCTGATATTCGGGGATACGGGTTCTCTTGGATTGATATGACAGTCCCTTGGTTCGTTAGCAACTGTGACCACAATTTTGCTAGGCTGTCCGCACCATCGTCGCAGATGATTAACCAGGACCATAATCTCTTTCCACCAGGCAGGTCTCTTCCGTTTGATATATCAACGTTTGGAATCACATATAATGAGTTATACCCAACGCAAGTATCTGGATTCGGTCAGCATTCGCAAGTGACGATGAGAGTCTCTGAGTTTATACATCGGGGTCCGTGATCCACGGAGCAAAAGTGCCAAATCTGGTTTGTGACATGGGCAAACGTAAGGCCTCGGAATGAAGCTGCCTTTTGGATGTTGTCTGGATCTGATAGGTTCTTCAATGAAACGGCCTCCTCGAGATCTTCCATGCGAGGACGATGCGATTGATCAATGCTTCTGTGGAAACTAGCCCTCAGAGACTGCACGGGTGCTGGAGCTTTTGGCGGAGCTGCTACGGGATCGGTACACATCATCCCCTGTAGCCTTTCAGAGACGCCGTAGTAGCTCGTAATTTCCTGAATAATCAGTGTTCTGTACCCTTGTATGACATTCCTGACGAACCTTGATCACATCCTTCTGTTCTTCGGGGGCCCAAATATTACTTCGACCAGACGTCGTCAGTATCAACATCCGGACGACGGATAGTAACTCACATCCACCTAGTCCCGAAACAATTCGGTTTCTGAAGCTCATATATCAACACTTGTTGTCCATGGTTATACGAAATGCGAATGCGACTTACTGGCTTCCGCAGCAACAGGCCGAAATCCTCCTGGCTCAGATTCATCGCGCACCAGGCATCATCATTCCCGAAATCCAGCACGAAATTCTGCGTCTGTGCATCTCGTAACCGTCTATTATACGCATAAAAACAAGACTCCTCATCAATATCGCGAAATTTACCCTGAAGGGTCGGTCGATCTGTAAAGCTCGCGTAGTACTCATATGGGTTCTGGTCGCTACTCGCTGATGAGCTGGACATGCTGTTTCCAGATTGCCTCTGTAACTGTGATCCTCACTCTTAAATAAATCTCTGAACTGGACGAGATGTGCGCACTGGGCAAGAAATACGAGTCAAGTTTAAGGGGCGCATCGCATATTAATATCAGGTCCCGGTTAAGCGCCCAGCCAGAACCCTGCAGATAATGGTCCTCGTGTGGCTGTCGACTGACCCTGGCATCAGCGCGAAATAATGTGTTACACAATGCACGAAATCGATTATTAGAAATCCTGGATTGTGCTGTTCTTGTGTGCAGCTGACTCGTTGGTTTCCACATGGGGATGCTCTGCAACCACTTGGCATGTTCGTGCTGCTGCTGATCACTTTTTCTTAAGGTAATCTAGGTGTAACTTGAACATGAACACATTCAGATAACATATACATACTGATGCTTCATCTTCTGATATGGTCAAGGCGTTGACCTCTATACAAATTTAATTTGAACGACACCAAATATGCTCTTGGTGGTGTCTGTGTCACGTGGTGGTTACCGATATATATATGGCTTCAAATATGCAGCTACATTATGAGTCAAGTCAAATATCAGAGTCCGTATATGCTACCTTGGAGCATAGTCAATCAGATAGGGAGCGCTCTCCATTCCACAAACAGGCAAGCACCAAACACATCAGTACACCCTAACCTTCACCGGGACCACACAAGCCGAATTCGTAATGCTCGTTGGACGTCACTTTGTTTTCATTTTAGAGCATGTCGTATACGTGATGCGACAGTTAAACCGTGTTGACTGTGGCGCTGCAATATCCAGCAGCAATGACGTGCACTCGAAGTTCAGATACAGACAACATTGATCGTGATCATAGGCTCTCTCAATAGCGGGCGGAGCGCCAGCTGGTATGGTGTCCGGTTCCTGCATGGTACAAATAAGCCAGCTCGCGAGCTGGCGATGCCGTATAGCCTATGCAGTCAAGGCTTGTGGAAAATCAAGACCGAGATTCTCCAAATCCCAGATCTGGTCTAATTCACCAAGATCCATGTTGAAAAGCTCTTGAAAGTCTGAGGACGGAGGCGCCAGTGGCTCCAAGGAGGAATAACTTGACATTGTGGAAGCATACATCTCAGGGCTGTCTGCGTCTAAAGGCTGCAGATTGTTATTTATGCCAAAGTCAATGCTAGGGACCGCACCCAAAGTCAAATGAGAATCAGAAGGCTTGACCCCTGTAAGTGGGTTGTCGGATGACTTGGAGTGCAGGATCAATTCCTCCTCTGGGGTCAAGGAGAGTCTATTGACAAGTTTTGAGAGCACTGAGTAGCATATTGCGGCGGTCTTCGTGTTGTGGGTGATCTGTTCTAATGTGCCCAGAGTCACGCTGATTGCTTCAATAACCTCGTCTCGCTGAGGGAGACGTCGTCCATGGTCGTGGATGACGGCTGAACATAGGCTGGCGGCTGTGTCAAACATTGCAAATGGGGCAAAATGAAACTTCGCATTTAGGGGCAACATGCAATCAAGGAGCTGGTGAGCTGCCTTGATCAATTTCAGTGCAATGTCAATGGCAGTGGGCTGGAGGCTCTTCTCGATAGAGGAGTCGTCTTGATGTACGTCTCTTGTGAGACATTGTTTCAATGGCATAAGCATGACCAGATAGGCAATAGCATGCAGCTGCTTGCGTTGCACCTCCACGTATTTGTAATCATGGTCCCATTGCATGTCAGGATTGACAAGCCTATAAGCAGGTGGAAACGAAGCAAGCCATTTCTCGGTCTCTTGTTGAACAGTGATGGCGATTGCGGGAGTCATTGTTCCACCCATTACCCCTGGTATCTTGGACAAGGCCTGGCCGAGTTGGCACTGGAGTGCGATGTGGACTATAGGCGAAGGCACGTCTGCTTCATTATGGTCGCCTTCCAACCTCACATTGGGCATTTCAAAGGAGCAGTAATTGCTGTTAATGATAAAGGGTCGGGATAGCATGAGGGACATTTGCCTTCATAAGTGAGTCTCGAAGCCTAAATAGATGTGAAGGAACTTACCAGTCCCAACTATACAGGATACACCACAGACGTCGCCTCATTTCCATGTCAAATTCTGGAAGTCCAACCTTGGAAAGGCTCTTATGCATGCCTATTCGACCATTATGTTCGCAATTAGCGCCCCTTTGACGGTCCGCTGGGACTATCTACTTACCCAACTCTTGGGCCTCGTGGATGGCGGAGCTCAAGGCATGCCAAGATTCAACAAACATGCCATCAGCCTTATACCAGGCTGCTGTGAGAAATAGTTGCTGAACTTGTGTTAGTCCCCCTTTCCCTGGGGGAATAGTGCTGCTCAGTTGTTTGGCGGCATGATGGTATCGCTCAGAAAGGCTCTCAACACTTTCTCCCAACTCAATTTCGAGCTTCTGCTTTACTCCAGGGCCGAGGAATAATGCTGCACATGCGCATGTCCGTATCAATAGACAGGTAAACTCTGCAGTCAAGTGCTGACAGCTGGTTTTACCCGACCACCATGCAGAGTAATCACGTAGGAACAAGGGTGGATAAAGGCAATAGTACTGCGAGTTCGTTTCACGGATATAGTGTTGTACCAAAATATCTAGAGTCCTGTGAGCTCATTTTTAAGCGCAGATATTCGCGCACATACCTGTATAAGGCTTTGGTAGGATTACACGTAACGCATTCTCCATTTCCGGAGAATAAGTTCCTCGTGGCTTCTCTGAAATTGCAGCAGAATCCTGTCGAAGACTTAGCCCACGGTGAGATTCCAGAGATCTCTTCGTCAAAGAAGCGTACTCCGCTCATGTGCTCTCCGGATTGAACCTCAGGGAGGTACCCCAACACCTTGAAGTCCTCTTTACTGTCCTCGACAGCAGTTCCAGTCATTGGGGAGGTAATTTGCCCTTTGTCAGCGCTAATAGCGCGAACAGGAACGGCTTGTCTAACAAGTTTTAGCTAAGGATGGACGGAATGATAACGTCCATTGCGAACCTCGAGTCTTTGACACTTGCTTTACTCGCTCTCAACACTCTCTTCGGCTCAAATTTACATAGGTGGGCAATTCTTCTTGCCTGACAATGATTACAGGGCCATTCACGACTGCACTATAAGATAAGTCAGAGAATGCCAAGGATGCATTTCAAGATGACGGCCTCGATCTCTGCTTGCCTTCTGCTTCCGACGTTGACATTCCGTGCACGAAGCAGCCACCCGGACGGCTGGGCTGTTCTGGGGCTGGTTGACCATCCTGGAAGATCACAGTCATCTAGAATGTATTAAGGCACCATCAATTCGTAGCGCAGTCGGGTAATAAAACCAAAGTGTTCGATTGTTGTTAAAACGAAGTATGAAGTATGAGCAGTCTAAGCGCCACTGAGCTAACTGATGCGGATGGGACAATAAAGCATAGTTGTTTATGCGCATAAGTTTATTCAATAGCTTAGTAATTATTGACCATAGTTAGGGCAAACCTAGGTCCCAATCAGGCTAGTGCCATTCACACCCACAAGCGGAGAACGGGATTTTCTCATGGCGGATAGCGAGCCGAAGTCTTTTTCTCTCGATCTTTGCACCGATATTCAGCGCAGAGCCACACCATAAGAGTTATTCTTTTGGAAGACTGTCACCATCATGTCTAAGATCACAGTCGGTATGCATCAGAATTTTACCTGCGACTTTTGTGAAGCAGCAACTAATATGTCGCCTGATTACAGCCGGAGTGCGCGAGAATATCGAGCAGCTGCTCAACTACTCTCAGAATGAGAAGAAGAGAAACTTCCTCGAGACCGTCGAGCTTCAGATCGGTCTGAAGAACTACGACCCCCAGCGTGACAAGCGTTTCTCTGGCACCATCAAGCTGCCCACCGTTCCCCGTCCCAACATGACCATCTGGTACGTCAACTTAGCCGACCGACCCATCCTTTGATGAAACGTCTTATACGCATCATCGGGAGAAGGATGAGGTAGCACATAGACCTGGGAATAAGGTTGCTGACGGTGATTGTCTCCAGTGTTCTTGGTGACCAGCACGATCTCGACCGTGCCAAGCACCACGGCATCGATGCCATGTCCGCTGATGACCTGAAGAAGCTCAACAAGAACAAGAAGCTCATCAAGAAGCTTGCTCGCAAGTACGATGCCTTCCTTGCTTCCGACACCCTCATCAAGCAGATTCCTCGTCTCCTGGGTCCCGGTCTGTCCAAGGGTATGTATTCTCGGTTCCAGCAGCACGCACGGCGCGCGCCGTTGCCTCTTAGCAAATGCTAACTCGACGCAGCTGGTAAATTCCCTACCCCCGTCTCTCACAACGAAGACATGGCCAACAAGGTCACCGAGATCAAGTCCACCATCAAGTTCCAGCTTAAGAAGGTTCTCTGCCTCGGTGTTGCCGTTGGCAACGTCGGCATGACCCAGGATGAGCTCGTCGCCAACGTCATGCTGGCCATCAACTACCTCGTCTCCCTGCTGAAGAAGGGCTGGCAGAACGTTGGCAGCCTTGTCCTCAAGGCTACCATGTCTCCCCCCAAGCGTCTCTACTAGATTTTCTGCGCAATTAGCTTTGTGTCAGAGTTTTTTTAGGCGCTCAGGTGTGGGATTGTATATGCCATAGATAGGAAATGTGATGTCCACGACTGGTACCTAATTTTTTTTTTTATTCCGTAGTGTGTGCTGCAATATCGCACATGTTCATCTATTCTAGCCTATACCCGGCCGTATAGAGTACATCAACAGCGCCGTCCATAAAGATAATATACAAGTGGATAAAGTAGGGTAAATAGTTACTGCATCCCGGGCATAAGATCCGTCTTGTCGAGGATCATCCCTCTCATACCGATGAACTCACGCAGGCTGTCCCACTCTTCTCCCTCCTCCTCGCCCCTCATGTAGATATCCTTGAATCCCCAAGCAACGGCAACCCTATCGAGTGCGGCGCGCTCCTCCTCTCGCAGCCAGCGATGTCGTAACGGAACTCCAGGCTGCCAAACAACCCTTTCCATCTGGTCGTTAGCCGATGTGATAGCCAAAAGGCCCATCGACGATGTACCTCCGACATAGGCGAGGGTGGCTGCGAAGGCAATGCCAGTCGCCGTGCTGGGATCCATGGTGTTTTGCAAGTTAGAGGCCCAGGAAGCGATGGCATAACACGCGGCTGGCGTGGCTGCAAGACCACCTAGTGGCACAGCAGCCTTCTTGAAGAGCTTTGCACGGTGGAATGCTGGGGCACAAAAGGTGTTATCGATGATGGCCAGGACGAGCGGGAGGTTACGCTGTTCGATGGCGATGTCCAGCGCCTTGTTGGCAAGTTCGGTGGGAATGGCGCTGTTGACGCTCTTGGGATTTGCCTTGTGGTATTTAACAGGCGAACTATTCTCCTCGGGAACTGGCTTGTGGGCGTACAGGTAGAATATCTCGGGGAAATGGTCGGCCTTCTTCAAAAAGGTCTGGATCTTGGTATAGCTTGCCAACGCTTCTGGCGAAATGAAAACTTTTTCCTCCTTAAGAAGTCCTGTAGCGATTTGCGACAGCGACTCGGCTAGGCGGGGTTGCGCGTCGCGGATTGATTTGAAGTGCTTTTTTGATGCGTTCTTTTCCTCCAGATCTAATAACGAGGAAATTGCACTTCCCTCTTCCCCAGCGGAAGGAGGCTTCTCGACTTTGTCTTGCTCGCGACTCACAAGAGCCTCTGCTATCTGTTCACATTTTTGTAGAATCTTCACAACTGACTCGTTGGAGGGTACGGAGTCGAGCTTGAGAAGTTCGGAAGACTCATGGGAGACTTGTCGCAAGCATGTCTCTGGGTCGAATGAGGAAGATGCGTCCGAGGAAGTCGATGCCAGTCGGCTAGGTGTAAGCCTGTTAGAGATCCATGGATTTCTTGAATCCTTCTTTGGCCGCAATTGTCTAGATTGAGCTCGGGAAGCGGTTGTCGACGTGAATGAATAGTAGCGCGCAAACGGCGCCTGACGGGCAATTGGCCTTGTGGAGAGTTGGCAAAATTGACAGACTAGAGCCTGTGACCTAGAAGTCTTCTGGCCCCTAATGTTCAAGCCCTTCATGGTGGGAGTGGAAGACTTCGGGGGTTCGAGAGTGAGTCTGCGCTGTCTTTTGGGGAGTAGGTAGACATGACCAGGAAAAAAGCGGAGATGGTCAGCACAACTGGAGTAGCACCGCCACTACCTCATCTCCGTCCTTCAACTAACTCAGCTGCCTGACGTACTAACTTACTCCAAAGGCAGCCGTCGCCAAAGATTGACAATCGTCAGATGATCTTTAGCCTTACGGGGGATTGAATCCTTCGTATTTTCATTTCATTTCTACACATCATAACCCCGGACTGGATTGTCATTTTCCTTTCGATTACTGCTCCTCGAACCAACATGCCTCCTCCACCACCACCACCTCCGCCGCCGCCTGGAGGGATGGGTGGCCCTCCTCCTCCCCCTCCTCCACCAGGGGGTATGGGCGGACCTCCCCCTCCCCCTCCTCCGTCTGGGAGTCTTCCAAGTCGGCCAGCGAAGGGCGAAGCCAAAGATAGGGTCAGTCGGAAACCGGTTCCTTGTCTTCCCAAGATCCGCTGCTAATGTCCTGGTAGAGCGCGCTTCTTTCAGATATCACCAAAGGCGCTAGACTGAAGAAGACCGTCACAAATGACAGATCGGCGCCCTTGATTACGGGAGGAGTTAAATCAGCTGCACCTCCAGTTGCAGGTGCACCTCCTGTTCCTGGCATGTCGAAACCCCCGAGTGGCCTGGCACCACCTGTTCCCTCAGCCAACCGAGTAAGAAGCAGTAGCGAAAGCGGCGGCGGCGGAGATAGTGGTACATCAACGGCTCCTCAACTGGGAGGACTCTTCGCAGGAGGGATGCCCAAATTGCGCAGTCGGGGCGGCGTTGACACAGGAGCCAACCGTGACTCGCCTTATATGTCAGACCCGGAGGCTTCGCGAGCTCCACGACCTCCTGTCGCTTCTGCTCCAAAGCCTCCAGGAGCTCGTCCACCACTACCACCGTCTTCTACGGAACCGCCGTCTGCCCCTCCGCTTAACCCGCTAGTTGCTCATCTGCGCAAACCTCCGCCGAGACCAGCCTCAAGGCCTTCCTCAACCGTCTCATCCTCTACATCAATCAAAACCACTCCGGATGCCGCACCTCCACGCGCACCTCCTCCTTTGCCTGGTTCGGCGAAACTGCCACCTCCTCCGTTGACGTCGAGGAAGGCATCCTCGGCAGCTCCTCCACCCCCACCCCCAGCCCCTTCCAGTCCGGCTGCACCTCCTCCTCCTCCGCCGGCATCTTCAGCACCCCGACCGCCTCCTCCCGCACCTGCACGATCGACCCCTCCCCCTCCACCCCCGGCAGCAGCGGGTTCATCACCACATACAAATGGGGCAGCGGCTGCTTCTATCGCGGTGCAAGCTGCCAGGAACGCTCTCGGACATAGTAACCATGCGCCATCCGCACCTCCTCCACCTCCTCCTCCATCAGCATCTGCCCCATCAGCGCCTCCACCACCACCCCCGCCATCGGCTCCTCCAACGGCGCCAGCATTACACCCCAGTCATCCGCCACCTCCTCCAGCACAACCTCCAACACCGCCGCCTAGCCAGCCTGTGGCACGTTCGACCTTGGATCCGAGTGCTTATACCCTAACCAATGGCGGCTTGTCGCCCGGCCATCAGAACACGGGCTCGCACGGAATAATTCGAGTGGAAGACAATCGGTTCAAATTTCAGAGCGACGGGCTGCTTCCCAAGCCACGCCCGTTTGTGGGAGGTCCCCGGCGGTACCGTGCTGGGCGAGGTAGCAGTGTACCATTAGACTTGAGTGCGCTGAGCGGCTAATCGGCCGGCTTGCTGATATTGTTTTCGAGAAATAAATGGATACTCTGTGTTACTGCGCTGCTTCTGATCGTATGTGAGATACCGATGGTCCGCGGTCAGTACGCACACGGTTTAGTTCGTGTACATGATATCCCAGTCGGGTAATTCTTATGAAATGTCTACCTGCAGGCGTTTCTTAGTACATTTAGGCACTATGCATCTTTCAGTTTGTAGGCACTATGCATCTCCTTTTTTTGTAGATTTAGTTTGAGATATAAGGTAGGCCAAGCTCCACACACGTGACTAGATACAGTTGGCGGAGCCGTGATATATTGAGCATCGGATCTCAAGGCGAAAGGCGGAATTGGGTGTTTTGCTTGTTCAGAACTAACCACGGGCGAATTTTTTTCTTGCACATCCATTCTGCAAGTACAACGCCATCATTCGAATTGTCCGCGATCGATTGAACTTCAACGAGACACGTCCGCTCATCCAAGCTCATCCGATTTGTCCAGATCACCCTGTTATCAGAGGCGGACGAGGAAGCTTCCAACTCCGAATCCAGCTATTGTCGATTTTTAACTGCTGAGATAGAAGTTGGCTGTCAATCCCAATACCGAGGAGCACCGAGGTACCAGCCCAGTCAGCGGACGGCTCGGAGCTTTTTGTACTTGAACCGCCTTAGCCCGTCATTGAGCGGCCTCGCAGCTCCCCATCATGTCTCTGCACTCCTACATCAATAGTAAGTCGCCTTCTTCTATGCTTATAACAGAACTATGCGACGCAAGTATCGCAGTACGGTGACTAACACAACTATCGTATTGCTTAGAAAAGGTCCTCATTCTCACGGTCGACGGCCGCACCTTACTAGGGACACTCTTGTCCACGGATCAGTTGACGAATCTCGTCCTGCTGGACACAATTGAGAGAATTATCCGAACGCCGGATGACCCCGAACCGAGCTCGCAGATCGAACACGGACTTTATTTGATTCGAGGCGACAATGTTGTTCTGTGCGGTGAAGTCGACGAGGCGATTGACAAGGATATCGACTGGTCGAAGGTGAAAGGCGAGGTTGTCAAGGGCACGAAAAACGCATGAAAGACAATGGCACTCAATTAAACACGGTGGGCAGCCCTTGCCATGCGTACAAGACTTAATGGCGCCGTTCCGAGGCTGTGACCGAAACTACGACCTGGTGTTGAAATGTCAAGCATTCGCAAGGCTTCATAAAGGCATGCTTCTTTCCGGGCATGCTGAATACGTGTGGTATGCCTCGGCTGCGACTGTGCTGCATATTGGATGAACGATCTATTGCGATGCTACATGAATACAACTCACTATAGAATGACGGCACCATCACGGTTGACCGGTCTACGAGCGGAGAGCATGATGGTGGTCTTATCTGATGCTTGTACGTCTTGGAGGAACGCGAGAAGCGACGGAGAAAGCAAATCTAGTTGGAAGATACCCTTTAGTCAGCAAAACGGTTGTCATAGTTAGTTCTTACTTTGGACTTGAAACTCGAGCGATTAAAAAGATGTTCATGAAGTCGAGGCGATAATAGTCTCATCTTGTGCTATGTACTCGGGAAGTTTTCCGAACAAAAACTAGCACCCTTATGCATACAAGCTTCTCTTCTCAGGCTCGTTTACTGTATAATCTTCTCTAGAGTGTCTCTATAAGCGATTACAGAGCTTCCTCCCCCTCTATACACAGTAATCAGCAAATTACCCAGATAGGCTAGCGTCACTTCACTAACCCAATGTGGAATTTCCATCAATTTGGTTGAGCTGTAACTTTGCAAGAAAACAAACCTGAACGAGACAAGATTTCATCATTATAATAGCCTCCTTTGGGCTCTGATCATATCTTGAGTGCGCTATCCTCAGAGAGTCAAGCAGTGACTTGCGAACTCTATGATTCTTATATCTGTTTAGCCAAAAAGAGACATATTGACCCACTCCTTGGCTAGTCGTGCGTAAGCGCTGCATATCCCTTGGGTAACGCCGATAGCTGCGTGTTTTGTTGATTTTGACTGGACATATCGCGGACTGAGCCTAGTCATATCTCCAATGCTCACTGTTTGAATTGATGTTGGCTCTTGTTGTTTGATACTTGCCCAATTGTCCCATCTGACTAGGTATCACGTTGTCCAGGCCTTTTTTTCTGAGATATCCCCATTCCAACTCCACATTCCAGAGAAGCGTATTGTCATCGGCTTCAGTTATGAGAGATCTGATATTGTCCTGACTGGAGAGGGACCATTGCGTACTAATTGATTTCGGATTGAACTGAGGTTATTCTGAAGGTATATATTTCTCTCCGTTTCCCAAGATGCAATACCTCTTACTGACAAGTATTCCTGTTTACAACAACAGATTGACCCGACATTGAAACAAGGCATTGCATTTGTCACTAGTCCCTCTGGAATAGCATTGATGCTGGCCCACCGATCGACCCACTCATCGCACCTATACTCTATGTGACATTGCTCATAGGAAACTTCTACCATTGATGACCACCTTCCCAGGGACATTGTGAACCATGGTCAACCAGACGAGGAAGCGCTCCGGTACACATGCCTCGCCTTATACTCCAGACACTCGCCATCATGCAGTGGACATTGAGAAGCAGCCGCATCGCACACATTATACCCAGCATGACCATCGCAGTTCGATAGAGTCGGATAGCGGCGACGACTCCCTCACCTCTTCCTCTACCAATTCGCGCCGGCCAATGTTGAATAGTGCCGCCTCGGCGCGGCGCTCTCGAGTGCCGGTTGGTTACTATCGTGTCCCGAATCGGATAATGCGATACCTGTGCCTTGCGCTATTCTCTGCACTAGTCTTGTTCATCCTCACCCTTTTCCGCTTCACCATCACCTCCAACGCGAAGCAAGTCGCGCTCGAACTGCCAAAGGTGGCGCCCAAACCGCCGCAATGGGAGAGCTTCCCTTTTCTGAAACGGTATCATGGTGGTATTCGAACATTGACCCTACGCAATGAGTCGGCACCCGAATATCCAAGTGACGGAATGGAGGAGATGGCCATGGGCTCGGACAATCAAAAGGGTCGGGCCAACATTGAAACCAGAGATCAGGAAGAGTTGATGTCGAGCTTGGTCTTCAAACCATACCCAGATTACGCATCAGACGAGTACGTGAAGAAGTATGGTGAGAAGCGTGAATGCTTCCTCGATGAGCAGGAGACTATTCGCATTCCACAGGTGCAACATTACCCTGGAGTGCCCCGTGGGTTTCCGGATGCAGTGATGGGGTCAAATAAGATGCTAGGTATCAAGGATGATGTTTGCTTCGAACGGTATGGTCGCCTTGGTCCCTACGGTTTCGGATACAGTGTTAGGAAAGGTGGTGTCGGTGCAGGCTTGGAGGGACACCGTGAAGGCGCAGAACGTGTGTGGGACGATTTGCCCCCCGTAGACTTTCGTCACATCGACTGGGCTGCTGCTCAGAACAGATGCGTGGCCCTCAATAGCCACCGGTTCAAAGATCTCCCTCAGCCGCGGCTGAATCGCTTTCTCTCCTTGCCCGTGGGAGTTCCAAAGTCCTCTGCTCCGTCTCGGGAAAAGGATGAAGCGCCCCAGTCGAAAGCGGATCGTCTACCTCGAACGGCAGTGGTAATTCGGACATGGCACGATTTTCACTTCACGCCTGATGACATTCTGTACTTGCGCTCGCTGATTTCGGAGCTCTCATTGTTGTCTGGAGGAGAGTATACCATTCATTTCTTAGTCCATGTCAAAGATGGAAACTTGCAAATCTGGTCGGACGACGAGACCTACGAGCGCGTGCTCAACGATGCTCTTCCCGAGGAATTCCGCGGAATGGGTACTCTTTGGTCAGAACAACAGATGGCTCTCGTCTACCCTGGGTTGGAAGAGACATGGACGCGTGGATTGCCTGTCCACGGTGTCTACCGCAGCACGTTCATGCCAATGCAGTATTTTGCCTACCAACATCCGGAGTACGACTTCTACTGGAACTGGGAGATGGACGTGCGATACACAGGCCACTGGTACCATTTATTCGACAAAGTGGGCAGCTGGGCGCGGGAACAGCCGCGGAAATTACTGTGGGAGAGAAATGCTCGCTTTTATGTTCCCTCTGTCCATGGATCCTGGGAGGATTTCCGACATACAGTTCGTGTACAGACCGAGAGCGGTACCAATAGCCCGAACAATATGTGGAGCGCGGCCGCCAAACATGGCTCCGACCCGTCCTCTGGAGACAGATCTGCTCTCCATCGTCAAGGGGACAAGCCGATCTGGGGACCCGAACGACCCGATGAGCGGGACATCTTGGAGGTGGACGGAGAAGGCATCCCCCAGACGACGATGGAGAAGGATCAGAACGAATGGGGCGTAGGTGAGGAGGCAGACCTTATTGTCTTCAACCCGCTATATGACCCGGAGGGCACGACCTGGCTTCTTCGCGATGATGTGACCGGGTACAACAAGGAGAACGGTATGCCTCCTCGACGGACAGCTATTATCACCGCCTCTCGACTGTCGCGCAAGCTGCTTCTCACAATGCACAAAGAGACGAGTCTGAAACGACATACCATGTTCTCTGAGATGTGGCCTGCCACCACCGCGTTGCATCACGGCTTTAAGGCGGTTTACGTGCCGCATTCTGTGTACATCGACCGTCGCTGGCCGACGAAGTACCTCGAATCCGTTTTCAACGCGGGCCGGAACGGCGCATCTGGTGGTGCTCGGACTTCTGTGTTCGGTGACCGGGAGCATAACTTCCGCGGAACTACGTGGTTCTACTCGGCTGGCTTCTCGCCAAATCTCTGGCGGCGGTGGCTCGGCTACAAGGTCGACAATGACGGCGGCGAGCAGGAAGAATTGGCTGGAGAGGGAAGAATGTGTCTTCCACCTATGCTCTTACACCCGATCAAGGATGTGCAAATGATTATTGACGACGGCGCGAGTGATGTGCTTGGGGACTCTTAAAGGCTAGAGAGTACATATTTCTGTGGTTCAGCGATTCAGCT